CTCGAAAGATAGAGTAAGCTGGCTGCTGTGGTCTTCCGCTGCCCTGGCGTTTTTTAGGGTAGTGCGTGCGCAGTGCAACCTAACAATCCATTTGACGGCGTCAGCACAAATCATGATGACGGTTTTCTAATGTTCGAGCTAGCTTTTTAAATTCAAATAGTATTCGAAAGTGTTGGAGTGCATTTGGAGAGCTTTCTATTAAGCTGAGAAATCTGTGGGTAAGTACAGTTTTCACCGCGGTTTGCATTGGGTGAGGGTCGCAGGACGGGGTAATCTGTGCGTTTATGCGCCCCAATCAATATCCCTTCTCGAATTTGCTTTTTTTTCATGTTCGGCTTATTGTTCCTGCTTCAACACTTCTCCATTTGAATTGTTGAAATGTCAAAATGTCAGGTTTATCTCAAAACTCATTCGCATTACTTTTTAATAAACTGACCTAAACAATAACAATCATAAATCATATTTGCATACTGTTTCTACTTTACTATTTTGTGAACCAAGTAAAGGTCATCATGTCCAGATGAAGACGGAATACCGTCAATTTCGCTGTACTCTGATCTTTTGAGCGCATGGAAACTCCAGTTGTTTACATTTGAAATTGTGTTCGGATAATTCTGAAAAGTGATGAGAAGGAAGAGGGGTACCACTATGTGTAAGTACCAGTTTCTTTTGAAAAATCTAACATTGCAGTCTTCTTGGAACATGAATGTAATTTATTGCAGTTGGGTAGCAGAAGAGCAGGGTAGTTCCTTTCCATGAGCAAGTACCAAGAAAGATTACATTTTGTATTCAAGTTCCCGTGCTACCTATTTCGTTAATCTCACCACCGATTTTGTTACTGAACTTACTGAACCTTTTTCATCATGCGAAAATTCTGAGCTCCCGGATTTCATATTACAGTTAGGTGACAGTCCGTATCTGGCTTCTTAAAATGAGTCAGTGGTATTTCTTGGATCGTTTTGGCTCTTGATTTTATACCCGATTTTAACGCTATGAGTCTGAGGACTCTGTCAGAGCGTCCCATATAAGCTGGGCACCTCTTTTTATGGGCTTCCTTCGCTGTTACAGGGTAAGAACAGAACATTAAAGAGTATAAAAGTAGCAGGCACTATTTACTCTATTGGCCCAATCTACGAAATAATACCAGTTTGGGCACTATTGAACTATTCCTACCCCAAAACTCAAAAAAAATTTTCGCTGAAACGTTGCCTATAGATGTAATTCGATGCGCTGATCACGAATATCACATCCGTTTCGAGCGCTGGCGTCATTTGGCGCCATTATGCGCCAATTTGGCGCCCACCACTTTTTTCACCAAAGTCGATGAAAACTTGTGGGGGTTAATTGAGGTCCTGATTACAAATCCAACATTATTTTTGGCGCTGGCGCCTTTGGCGCCATTATGCGCCAATTTGGCGCCATACTTGGCGCATAATGGCGCCAAATGGCGCCAGCGCTTGAAACCAGTGTGATATTCGTGATCAGGATGTCGATTAACCCCCATATGCAAGTTTTCATCAACTTTGGTGAAAAAAGTGGTGGGCGCCAAATTGGCGCATAATGGCGCCAAATGACGCCAGCGCTCGAAACGGATGTGATATTCGTGATCAGCGCATCGAATTACATCTATAGGCAACGTTTCAGCGAAAATTTTTTCCAGTTTTTGGGTAGGAATAATTCAGTAGTGCCCCAGTTTTTACCGTTTTTCGCCGGGCACAGATTTGAGTGAAAGCTTGTTGTAGTTTGACCTCCTAAACACGAAAATCACATTCGCTCAGGCCGCAACCGCCTGGTGCCCGCGTCACAGGCACCGGCGAAAAAATACCCAAAGTCGCCATGTTCGCTGAAAACTTATCCCCATGGGTAGGCTTGACCCCTCAAGACAAATATCGCATTTGCATGGGGTGCTGAGAGACACAGCAGCACGCAGGAAATGGTCGGAGTACATGTGGCATCGCGGTCTACTTCTAACTGTCTGCACCCTTCTTTCGGAATAGTTTTTTCCTCTGTTAGAGCAGCGTCAAGCAAAGAGAACGATCACAACGCAGGAACAAGAAGGAGTTTCGATGTGTTTCCCCGATTGACCCGGCACACCCGGTACGAATTCACCTAGGTCCTCCCTACACGCGCCGGATTAAAATAGGCAGGTGGTGGCATTTCCCGTAATGCAGGCCTCAAGCGCTTTAGGGCTGTGCGGATGTGATATTCGTGTTTAGGAGGTCGAATCACCTTGAGCGGACAAGTCTTAGCCAAATCCTCCCCGACCATGCTCCCCAAAGGAGTGGAATCAATCAACTTCGTCCCTGACGACTTTGGAGAACAGGGGAGACGGCGATTTGAGAGATTGTGTGACGACGAAAATATAGGTATTGATGTGCGATTGCGGAGAATGAGCAATCTAGCGATTTGGGAGACTCGGTGTTTATGGCGATCGCGCGTCAAGGAAGTGGATGGATATCGATCAGCGTCGGTCGCTAGCGGTTGCGGAGACTCGGCAATCCGGCGGTCTCTCAAATCCCGGATCGCTCAGTCTCCCAGATCGCCGGTACGACGAATCCCCGGAATCGTAATAGAAGTCAATCGATATCCATCCATTTCTTTGGCGCGATTGCCGGAAATGCCGCCTCCCTCGATATTCGCGGAAATTTTACAATCTCCGCAGTCGATTGGTCGAGACCCATGGCGCAGTCTTTCCAATCGCCGAATCTCCTCAGTCGTAAAGTACGAACGTGGCCTTAACGCGCATCCTCCTACAACATAAATTTACCAATTCTGCTACTCGCAAAGTATGAACGCAGATTAAACTTTCCTTATAATACTCTCGCTTCACGAGCTCAATATCCACTTAGTCACTCTAGTTCGCTGCGGACGGTTGGGCGTGTCAGGCAGTATGAGTGTGCACCTCCGTCAAAGCCGTTCTCTGCCTTCTTGTTGAAGCGCGCATGCGATGAGAAAGTGGTACTCTCCTCATCATTACGGACTGTCGGGGCGGGTCAGTGCGGCTGCGTTTGCCGCGGTCGTCCGCGCCATTTCTTTACCAGTCGCTGAACCAGGAAGCGACATTACTGTATTCTTCGTATCATGTATGTATGTATTATGTATCCTTCGTATTACTCGTTTTCTACCACTTTTTGTCGCATACGCGTTTCAACGAAAAGGCTGAGAACGGCTTCAAACAGTGTGCGCACTCCTACTGGCTGATACGCCCCGACAGTCCGTAATGATGAGGAGAGTAGAAAACGACCATTACGGCGATATGATACAGCCATATCATTTGCTTGTTTTAACCGTTTTAACAACTGGTGGTGAACGGGTTTGGCACCACCAAAACTCATCACGCTTGACACCCCAACCGTACCGCAGCGAACTACACTACTGTGCCTTGCTCTGGAGTGGGACTCTCGAAGAGGCCTAGTCATACAGAACTGTTAGTAGATTTCCCTTTCCATATGCATGTGTTTCAAAAAATAAGTTTCGTTAGAAAATTCGGTGCTCCTTGGCTTGGTAGGGACACTGCACTTCCGCTGATTTCTGTTGAAATACGCTTCACGACTTGGTGGGACTCGCAGACTCTTGTCTGAAGAAAGGAAGCACCTGTCACTGCGTAGCTTAACAGGTAATTTCGCTTTAGTTCTCCTCAGGAAGTGATAACGCAGCTAAATGCCCCCACCAGGCCAAACTGCGCCGAATATTCATTGTTCATCTGCCGCCTCTCCTGTTGTTATCTATTAGGTTGTTCGAAAAGTCCTGCGACACTTTGATTGAATTGTTCTAGAAAAAGACCAAAAATCATTTTGGATGTTTTTATCCCTGATTAGTGGAGACTGTCCTCTGGGGTTTCTGCACATGGGTATATCATGACTTTGTGGAAGTTTTCAAAGCTTAAAAGTCCCTCAGAGATCGAGGTACTTTTCGACCTATCCCATATTATGAGTTCCTGTAGGGCCACTCCGCCGTAGTCGAGGAAGCTAACACTTACGTTGTCTTGAGGAAGGATATCGCTTGCCATGGCAGAGGGTAGCTTTTGCATCAGCGCTTCCAGGCTGGACTTATTTAACTCGTAGTTAGGCAATGTATAGGTCGCCCACCAGCACAGAATGACGGCCCTTTACTCAAGCTTCTTGAGGCGCAGCCGAAGGTAACCACCAGTAAGTTGGCAACCTCTCTAGGCTCCACCTAACTGACAACTGCCATGCTTCTCCGCAATCTCGGTTATCGGAAAATTTTTTGTGAAGGATGCCTCATGAGTTGGACCCGTCTGACAAGTCATACCGAATGACCGTGACTGAGTTTTTTTTCCTTGTACACACTGGAGGAACATTTGTGAGATCTTGTGGTTGGTAGCGAGTGTTGGAGTCCTTGCGTACATCATGCACATGTCCCTCGCAGGATCTCTCAAAAGAAAAGTAGATTGCTTAGCCAAAAACAGATGTGCATGGGATAAAGATTTCAGTGTGTTATTGGTGGGACTTCAAAGCGGTATCACTGGATACTAGCACCGTTGTAAGGACCACAGTCCACCTTAATCGACTTCAAAATATGGATGACGTCACGCTTGAATTCATTCAGAAATACTCAATTTTTCTCTACTACTCGGCAATGCGAAGACCGCATGTGGGGATCAGGCTACGCCAAAAGATCATGGATTTCGATCAGAGAATGCGACCGTACCCAGGTTATTTAACAAAGTTAGCAGCCTCTAATTACCACCTCCTTTGGTCCCTATCGCATCCTTTAGGAGCGAAAATTCCGAGAATGAGGTCCACCTCTTCTTTTTATCATAGTTGCCGTAGTTCTATGAGAATGGAAATGAGAAGCTGTGCAAAAGAAGGGCACTAGTCCTAGTCATCAACTGCGGTTACCTTGTAGATTGGAGATGTCTTTTAGTGACGGAAAATTTAGTCCGAAAAATTTGGTCAAAGTGTCGCATTACTTTTCGAACAACCTAATATTTCCCCACCAACCTCCTCGAATCGCTTTTGATTTGTAATCTCCATAGCATGAAGGACGCACCGTCGAGCGGTGACTCACAGCAGACGCCTGGCGCAGAAGACGATGACGATGACGTGATCGGTTGTCTCCCTCGATTGCTGTCAAGCGGTCATCGGGAAATCATAGAGAGCATTGTAAAGTCTTTGCCTGGAAGCTGTTTCTGAAGGAAAGCAGGACACTCTGGAGGTGAGTTCAGGACTTCTTGAACTGGAAAGATCGGTTCTGATCAAGCAAAACTAGCAATTTAGAATGATTTGGATCGCTACGCTCGTCTGCTCGACATCTATCAGGAACAACCCAATCTCCTTGATTGCATCATTCCTTCAGTGCTGAAATGCTTGGAATCATATATCACTCTTCCATCATCAGGTTACTTTTAATGTTTGAGTCACGTTTTTTTTTCAGTACAATTAAACCATAGCGAAAAGAACATGGTGTGACTTTGGCGTTCATTTTTACTACAATTAAAAGCAACCAGATCTTACATAATGAATTCGGGTATGGAGTGAACGATCTTTTGGGCCGAAAAGCTCCATAATAGCCTTTCCCATGGTTAGCAATTTATCGAGCAACTGGGTTCGAAGCAATTACCAAAGTACTTGGAGTGGCGCACGTCGCTTCCATTCTGCGTATAAGACAGTTCTTCCTAGAAAACTCGAGGGAGATGGAGTGGCGCTAATAATTTGGAAGGGGGGGGGAGAGTTGAAGGGTTAACTATGCAAAACTAGGGTTACCCAGCCACTCTGAAGGAGAGGAGCTATGTGACCCATTTCTAAGTACAGTAATCCCGTCCTTATTTGAGTAATCGTACAAGCCCTCACCCGGAGACCGCGTTTAGACTTCACGATCATGAATACAAATTGCAGTGTGATGCGGCCCAGTTTGAACTCTACTGGCGATGGCGCGGCGTTGGCGGTGGAGCATCCCCGGTCGTGACCGCGCGATTCAATGGAGTGATTTGATCGTGAGATTCAATCATGCGGTCCAATAGCGCGGTCGCTAAGTCTAAACATGGTCTAAGGTTTCAAACGTATATGGAAGGGTCATTCCAAAAGTGTATGGAAGGGTTATTCCTCCTTTGTGTTGCGAGAAATCTCTGATTACTCGTGAAGATCTCCGCGTTTAGAACGAGACGAGAGATTCTGCTCAAGGATAGATCGTAGCGAATTCTCAGCCCTGTGAGATTCTGACTTCTGACGGATGTTCCTGCCTTGCCTGAAAAAAGCCGGTTTACGTACTCTGATGTTCTCACCTATTTTGAGTTTATAAGATAATGGGAACTCCACGGCAGAGGCTATATGCTCTCTTTCCTCGACCGCTTTTAAACACCTATTCTCGGACCTTGAATAAGGTCCCCTTCGTCCAAACGCGACAGTGCAAAATCCACGAATTTGGAAAGTGCGCGCCAAAGTTAAATGGGGTCGATTCTCTGCGCCTGCTAGTCCTTCACAGAGTGCACTTCCTCCCAGGTTGTACACCCCCGGACCAATAGTAATACTTTGCGCATCCTCCCAACCCGGCTTATTCTCATTAGCAAAAAACGCGGTTTAAGGGCTGCTTCGACAACTTGCTGCTTGCTTGTGCTGCTTTTTTTCTATAATACTTACAAATTACGTCAACGAACTCATTGCAACGCCTCCCTGGTGCAAGGATCGAGCTGGGAGGGTGTGATACATTCGACGGGCGTGAAGCCGATTGCTTTCCAGAGTTCCTAGCTATTGGGTCTGAAACAGAGCACGTCCTGAAGTTGGGAAGAAATTTTGCTAAATACAAACTATCATCTTCACCCCCGTTGACCATCGGCTGGGAAGATAGACAAAGCGCACGAAACGAGAGAGCCAGCAGTCAGAAAATTCTTCCTAAGCAAATACTGACCACCCCCCCCCCGCCTCCCTCCCTCCATTCCAGCAACAATGTGACTCACGCTGGGATCTTTGTCGTACGGCGTGCCCTGGTATCGAAGGGCATAGGTGATCTCTACCCTCTCTTTACTTTCTGTGATAGCTATTCCCACAAATTCCAGTCAAATTTGAATGAAGATTCATTTATTTTAGCGCGTGAGAGTGAAAATACAGTGGATCTTGACTACTCGATGATTCCTTTCAATTTAGCTAGTCCCGATAAGCGCTTGGATCAGTTGTCAGTCACTGCTTTGCGTTATATAGCACATTTGACGAAAGTTCGTGGATACAAGGTTATCGTCAGACTTCTGTCTCATCATGTAGGTTCTCCTTTCAGAAGCCTTTTTTGATCAACTGCTTTCTCTGTTTGCATTTTTCGCGGATTTATGGAAGTTCCTGATTGTTTCAGGTTTCCTACCTTGATAAGCTACTGACTGTATTGGAACAATACAAAGATAACGTTGGCAGTGATTTATATGAACGTCATGTGCTTCTTTTGTGGTTATGGATAGTGTGTAAGAATCCTTTCGATTTCAGAAGGTAACGATTTTTTGAGATTTTCTGCAATGTTTTGTGCTGCCATTATCTGCTTCTTCAGATTCGATCCAGCAGATCAACCTGGATCAACAACCAGTCGCATCCTTGCTGTAGCCACCTCATATTTAAAATATCCATGGTCAACTGTCCATGTTAGTCAGAAGTTTTCCCAGCTCTGTTGAATTATTCCTACCTCAGTCTTCCGAAATCGGGCCAGTTTTTTTGCGACTTTTTCTACAAAGGCAGTTATGGCTGGAAATTTGTTCCCGGGAGTATGCTAACCTCCTTAACATGAATATTATAACTGCACGGCCTGGAACTGCCTGGCGTCCACTTCACAGGCGCCGGCATTGAAATACCTGAAATCACCAAATCGCTGAAGTTTGTCTGACCTGAAGGGAGCCTATTGCTTTCTCAAACTCAGCCTTAGCACAGGTGCTAAATGGCGCCAGCGTAAAAAATGAGTGGCATATTCACGATCAGAATGTCAGGTAGCCTCGCTTACAAGTGTTCGTCGATTCTGGTAAGATGGTGGCGCCAGATTGATGCCTTATGGCGCCAGCATTAAAAATGATGGACATATTCGCGGTAAGGGCTCCGAATCTCTCCTGAAATCAAAGTTTCAGCGAAGAATTTCATTCTAGTTTCTGTGGTTGAAACAGTTTAACAGTGCCATTTTTTCCAGCTGAATCTCATATTCTTCACTCCTATTTTGCATAGGTATAAATGGAAAAATTCAAGTTATCCAAATTTGGACAAGGTAAATTGGACCTAACCATTCAAATGAATGAAACTCTCTTTCAGCCGGCTGCTATTCTTGTCATTGCGCAATGTCTTGCTCGCCACGATTGTATACCGCTTATTCCTTCTATCATCTCGGAATGCACTGATCATTTATCGCATAATTCGGAAAATCATCTAAATTATGCTGCTCTTCTATGTGCCATTCTCAAACACGTGAGTTCGTTTGGTAGCATAGTATCTCATTTTACTGGCTACTGTCTTTCCATGCTACTCATGATGAGGTGGTTTAGGTTGACAGGAAATATCTTTTGCCGCATGTTTCTTCTGTACGGGAAGCTGTTGTTGTTCATTTCCCATTGAAGAAATCGGAAAAAGATTCGTTGACAAGAAAGATGTTCATTAAAATGGTGCAGAGATTGGCTTTGGTGGTTCTGAAACCCCGACTCGCTGCTTGGAGATACAAGTGAGCGTTCACTTCTTCATTCCATCTGTTTGCTGTTTCCTTAGTATTAGGTTGTTCGAAAAGTCCTGCGACACTCTGAGTGAAGTGTTCTAGAAAGTTTTTATCCCTGATTAGTGGAGACTGTCCTCTGGGGTTTCTGCACATGGGTATATCATGACTTTGTGGAAGTTTTCAAAGCTTAAAAGTCCCTCAGAGATCGAGGTACTTTTCGACCTATCCCATATTATGAGTTCCTGTAGGGCCACTCCGCCGTAGTCGAGGAAGCTAACACTTACGTTGTCTTGAGGAAGGATATCGCTTGCCATGGCAGAGGGTAGCTTTTGCATCAGCGCTTCCAGGCTGGACTTATTTTCGTAGTTAGGCAATGTATAGGTCGCCCACCAGCACAGAATGACGGCCCTTTACTCAAGCTTCTTGAGGCGCAGCCGAAGGTAACCACCAGTAAGTTGGCAACCTCTCTAGGCTCCACCTGACTGACAACTGCCATGCTTCTCCGCAATCTCGGTTATCGGAAAAATTTTTTGTGAAGGATGCCTCATGAGTTGGACCCGTCTGACAAGTCATACCGAATGACCGTGACTGAGTTTTCTTTTCCTTGTACACAGCGAAAGAACTTTTGTGAGATCTTGTGGTTGGTAGCGAGTGTGGAGTCCTTGCGTACATCATGCACATGTCCCTCGCAGGATCTCTCAAAGAGAAAAGTAGATTATTAGTGTGTTATTGGTGGGACTTCAAAGCGGTATCACTGGATACTAGCACCGTTGTAAGGACCACAGTCCACCTTAATCGACTTCAAAATATGGATGACGTCACGCTTGAATTCATTCAGAAATACTCAATTTTTCTCTACTACTCGGTAATGCGAGACCGCATGTGGGGATCAGGCTACGCCAAAAGATCATGGATTTCGATCAGAATGCGACCGTACCCAGGTTATTTAACAAAGTTAGCAGCCTCTAATTACCACCTCCTTTGGTCCCTATCGCATCCTTTAAAAAGCAAAAATTCCGAAAATCGACCTCAACTCGAGAATGAGGTCCACCTCTTCTTTTTATCATAGTTGCCGTAGTTCTATGAGAATGGAAATGAGAAGCTGTGCAAAAGAAGGGCACTAGTCCTAGTCATCAACTGCGGTTACCTTGTAGATTGGAGATGTCTTTTAGTGACGGAAAATTTAGTCCGAAAAATTTGGTCAAAGTGTCGCATTACTTTTCGAACAACCTAATATTTTCTAAATTTTCGTTGCGTTGAATCTTTATCATAAAGTATAAAGTATACTTGATGATAAAGAGTATAGTATAAAGTTTCCTTATGCAGGCGTGGAAGAAGGCGCCTGGAGGAGAATCTGAAAAGTCCGACGGCCAACGGAAACAGCATTGTTTCAAACCAGGCTTGTTTCAACAACAGCGATTTGGGAGCGGACGACATTTGTATGGAGGAGGATGAGGATGAACATCCGGATGATGTGGTTAGTAATAGATTTGCTGCAGTAATCGACGGTAGAGAGCGACTACTATGCCGTAACCGTTTTTAGGAAGGCGGATGGGGCGTCTTATTTTCAGAATAGAATCGGGAATAGAAGAAAAGATGTTGAGACGCACGTTGGGAACAGAAAAAACTCACAATATTCAGTGGAATGAACGCTTTGAAAACTCTTTTTCAATGGAATTCGTATAGTTCGTAGGTTCGCAGGCAGAGGCGAACCTGAAAATCGCATCCTATCAGGGAGAAGGATTTGCCTGGGGTTTCTCACATTCCATTAACTCCCTTGGAATGGGGACACCGTTGAGTTTTTGGACTTGCCCCCTTTGGCCTCACTTATACATCGCGTTTGGGAGAATCGAAGAATCCGCGAAAATATATCAGTATATAGCATATCGATTGTTATCTGGTTATCGAGTATTCTAGTGATGCGATTAAGCTATTAAGATTGCTTAGTAGTCTTCTCAGGGACTGTTGCTCTAAGTGTAATTGAGACATATTCTAAAGCCTTGAGTTACCGAGTTCCCTTTAGGTGGAATGGGCGATTGGTTGCGTACTATGTGCTTTATCGGACGACCACACAACTGTAAGATGGTCAGCTGCAAAAGGTGTGGGTCGGATAACAGCCCGTCTTCCAAAGGAGCTCGCCGTTCAAGGTTTGTTCTGCCGCTCTCGGTGCGGGGTTCACTGCTTAATTATCTTGATTACAGTGGTGGATTCCATTCTTTCATCAAATTTCCATCGACTAGCTGGTCATTGTTCATGGCATGGAGGTTGTTTAGCTCTAGCTGAGCTCTCGCGTCGAGGATTTCTCCTTCCAGAAGCGTTGGACAAGGTGCGCTTCTTTGCAATGATAAGGTTTCTTGAAGAATAGTTTGAGCCGATTCAATGTCCACAAACCAGAGTAGTAAAAATTCACATGGCTTTCTCAGCTTTCCTTATCGTTGCCCTGTCAAATTTTTGACTTTCTTTAGGCCCTCCCTAAACTGTAGTAGCTAAGGCTCACTCACAACATATAGTTCTGGGCATCCGAGCTGCGTCATCGCGCACTAGCAAGCATCATAACGTCGCGCACTAACTAGCAAATTGTTTCGTAGCTAGTTGACCTGGAAACGCTGTAGCGTTGTCACGTTGAATCAGTTCTCCTCACACGAATGCTATTCCCGCGACATCATTTGCAACATCTATTTCGCAGAACTTTACCTCGCTCATCAGGTCTAGCACAGACCGAAATGACCTCCATTTACGAGTCTGCTGTTGAGTAGAGATGGGAGATATGACGGGGGGGGGGGTGCGAGCTGCTGTCCCGACCCTCGGAAGTCGCATCTTTGCTGAGCAGTATACCGGCATTGGTCCCCTAAAAAAATGACTAGCTTCTCGATCCCGCTTGTCGTTGTATAGATCAAGTGACTTCGATAAGCTACCACGATACAGAATAGAGGTAGATTGCGTACCGCACCCTCGTTTCGTTCAATATTTCGAATACTATGGCCTAAGCAAGACTGTTCAGGCATTTCCAATAGTGCAACAAGCTCTGTTCTATGAGGAGCCCATGGGTAGACATGCTTTCGGTAGCAACGTTCGTGATGCTGCCTGTTATGTGTTGTGGGCGTTCGCTCGTGCGTATGAACCGGAGCAATTGACGACTTTTATTGATTCTGTTGCAACGAGCCTGGTAAGTAAAACTTCATGAAATTTTTACAATTATTATCGTTTTTAATAAAACCAATCAGCACCTAACATTATAGATGTGCGTTACGTTGTTCGATCGAGAAGTGAATCTTCGTAGAGCAGCGTCGGCAGCGTTCCAAGAAAATGTAGGCCGTCAAGCTAACTTCCCTGATGGAATTGCATTACTAACTACGGGTGAGCTTCTTTTTTTTTGAAAGTAATATTGGTGATTGATATTGGTTTGTCTCGATTCTCGGGTACAGCATCGCGATTTGTGGAACTGCGAATCGGTATGATTCCTCTTCCTCATCCTTCCTATGTTTTTCCCGCTTCTCGCATCCTCCAGATTTTCGAGAGTGGCTAGTCTCCCCTCCTCAAATGACTACTGTCGGGCGGAAAAAGAAGAGAGGACCGGAATCGACCATCAGAAATAACAGTGTGTAGCAATTATGCAGTAGCGCGATCCAAGGGAGGAAGGCAGGGTGTATAGCACACATGAAATGGGAAAAATCCGGAAAAGTCAACGACCGGAAAACAATTTCCTTAAAGGCAAATACGACCCTCATTGGGGAGCATCGACCAAACACACCTCTCACTGGGTAGCCCCAACGATGTTTGCGCGTGACTTGGGAAAAAAAACAATCGGAACATTTCTGTCACCAGGAAAATCCGCCAACTTACCATGGAACTTTGAATGGAGACCTGGGTAGATCGATAGAGTCTATAAGGTTATTTACAAATATAGATAGCAAAACTGCAACCTGCATTTCACAAGCAACTTATGAGCAGGTAAAGTTTGTAATGGTGCAGTAGGGTGGAGGCTTGGTGGTGAGCTGTGAAGCATAAGCGAGGAATCGCATACGTCGAATCGAGTCGTGGTGGTTCAGTGGTAAGGTTCGACGACTCGATTCGACGTATGCGATTCCTCGCTTATGCTTCACAGCTCACCACCAAGCCTCCACCCTACTGCACCATTACAAACTTTACCTGCTCATAAGTTGCTTGTGAAATGCAGGTTGCAGTTTTGCTATCTATATTTGTAAATAACCTTATAGACTCTATCGATCTACCCAGGTCTCCATTCAAAGTTCCATGGTAAGTGGGCTGACTTCCCTGATCAGACCAACGACGACCCCCCTCCCTCCGCCCCTCCCTACGCAGCGACCGATCCCCTAATGGGATACTGCCAAAGATGCTGCACTCCGCTCGACGCTCAATTTCCATCGATTTCAGTGGACTACTTCATTGTGGGCAACCGCTGGCGCTGCTATACAAAAGCATGCCTGGAAGTAGTTCGTTATCCAAAGTACGCTGATGCCATGATCGATCATCTAGTAGAGAACAAGGCATGTTGTGCTTCTTTTCGGATCTTTGAAATGTAATGTGTTATATTTGCCGTGTTTCAGGTGACTCATTGGGATGAAACGATTCGTGAACAAGCGGCCATAGCTCTTGGCCTTCTTGCTCCTCTCCATTCTGAATATCTTTCGCGTAAACTTGGCTTTCTGCTAGATGGTTGCGGTTCTTCAAATCCGGTAAGGGCTCATTATCGATATTTTACTGTGTTGCTCATGATTTTTCTCTTTTTTCCGGTTTTTTCTTGCGCATTCAAGGAATATCCCCAAACTTGCAAAGACTGGATAACATCATTTGGCTTACCTTTTGGCCCGTGCGCCTCCGACTAATTTTGAAAATAGAGGGAAAATGCGGCTCAGTTTAACAACGAGGGGAGGGCATTTTTTGCTGCTTGGTCGCGATCATTGATTTACAAAAGCTGACAAGTAGTTTCTACAAACTTTGATTGGTATTACTTCATAGCATCCCAGTTTGCACGAATTTTCGCCTGATGGCTCTACACCACAACAGGAAGCAGCGAAAGCGCAGATTTTCTGCCCACCCTTACCGAACTGCGCCAAAAGTGCTTATGAGATTTGCCCGTCTACGTGCTTAAGGACCTGTTAAGGGAACTCTAAATGGGCGGGGTCAGTAAAGGGCGTTATTGGCTCGCCCCTGCTTCTCCCTTTTCATCTCGACACAGAGAAAGAAGAAAAAGAGCCAATGATGCTATCTCGGGCTACGCATAACAGATAGTCATGAATGATAAGAAAACAGTCCTCGCGGCAATTTCGCTGAGCCAGCGAATTTGCCGCGAGGAGTTCTCGATCGATAATGGCCTGACAATGGCCTGCCATTATTTCCAGTGATGGGCTGACTGCAAAGAGTTTTTAGATTCATCGTCATGGATATCTCCTTGCTCTTGCTCACTGTATTCAAGGTCTTGTCTCAGCTGGATTTCCATGCAGTAAAGAAGTGAGAAAGCTAATTTTTCAATACCCGGGAGTCAGTTGAATAAATGCTGCTCAGATCTTGTTCCACGCTGTTGAACTGCCGTGGAAGCTTCGAGCGGAGAGTGAGAAGCTAAAAGTATCTGGAGGAGAGGTGACTCGTCTTGCACTGGCAACCTTCATACGCTGCTTGTCATCAGTTCCGATTGCGTTAGATCCTGAAAAAGTGAATTTCATCCATTGAACTTGGTATAGCCTTAAATTACAAAAGCAATACTTGTCAGATCGAGAAATGGCTAGATCGTTTATTGATGTTCGCTTGTGATGACACTGCTACGGTCAGATTGGCGGCTGCTGCTGCTGCATCAACATTCTTCCCAGCGTATTTCCTGGAACGTGTTTCAGAAAGGATTGATGAGAGAATAGAAAGCATTCCTTCCAAGGTTCGTTAGTTTGCTATTGTTTCTTTTTCGGGTAGCCTTATCCAATGTTCCTGTCAGATTTTATCTGCGAGGAGAGAAAACGAGCGCATAGGTTTGTGCTTAGTGATCGCTTATCTTCCTCGACGTTTTATCAGTTCACTGCTGCTCGACGCCATTTGTAACGTGATCATCAAGTGAGTTACTTTTTGGAACTTTTGAACTGTAACCAATATTTGTAACAAGTTTTTCTTTTGTGCTAATAAACTTCGGGAAATTTTGTTCACGTCGATGTGATTTTAATTCGAAACTTAATATGAGAATGCTTTAATTGCGGCGAGGGAATGGTAGAGTGGACGGACTGAAATCTCCGGAGAGTCGCCAGAATATGTATAACTATTGTTCTTGCGTTTTGGGAGAGTAGGAGAAGCAGTGTTCGGGGAAAGTGCGTTCTAAACAAGTAGACGGGTGTGGATTGGCGTCTGTGAGGCTGCGTTCATACTCTGTGACCCGAACGATTCGATTTGACAGTTGGGTGGAAGCACTGACCACGCTCCGTCGCCAATCGTTGGACCACTGCATGTGCTGGTTCACCCATATTAGAATGGAGCCTCCTTTGACGGTAGCAGCGGTCTAGTGATTACCCTTGAAGCGTGGTCGCTTGCCATCGCACGAAAGAACTTCTCGAGTCATGGAGTATGAATATAGCTTGACAGTAAGAGAGTATAGTTGCTAGCGACCGACTTCGACCGGCACCCATCCACTCATTTGGCCCACACTCTTCCGTCGCTGATTTACCTATTCTCCCGATCTCCCGAAACGCCAGATCGACACCTATACCTCCTTGTGCGCGCATTCTCCCAAAAAGTCAATTCGCCGATTCTCTTAATCTGCTGTCTGGAGTAGGACTGCAGCCCAAGACCGTGTTTCTTCACAGCACCTTTGAAAGGACTGTAGATTCTGAGGAGCTGAAAGATGGCGGAAAAATCGTAGGTATAAAATGGATACTTACATTGGTCTCGCTCTCATTGCGTTTTGGGAGAATCGCGGGAAACGATTGCCTACGTATCGATCGCGTTTCGTAATTCTACCAATTTCGCGGATGCCCTCGTTCTTCAACGACGTTGTGTACGTAGGCGACCTATCTGGTGAATCTTACGCTCTGTTAATCGAGTAAAGTAATACTCTTTTATTCGTGGAGACCCTTAAAGAAGGCATGAAGAGATTTCCACGCTTTAGTTTAATTCGAGAATTCGTTTTCAGGCGAAATAGCCTTGATGCCAAGTGGGCGCTAGCTCGTCGCAGTGCTGTGGATGCTCTTGGAGAGGTGTTCGCCAGTCGACCGTGTGCGGAATGGATTTCTCCCGTTTTCGATGCTTTGTTTTGCGCCGTTGATGATTATACCACTGACTGTCACGGAGATATCGGACGCTTCGTGAGTACTTACATTTTTATCTCCTATTACACAACCCTGCAATTGTTTGTGGTTTCTACCGTCTTGGTGCGAGCACTGTCACAACGCGTGCAACTCTGCCTCCGACGCAACGCGGATGTTACGCCCAAACCACATCCCACGGCACGCTTGCCGTTGTCCCCCTATGGTGCGACCCAACCCCTCCCCCTTTCTTTATCTGTCATCTTGCTTACCATCTTGCTGAATTTTACCACTGAACTATAATACCACTTTTTTCAGAGAAATGCTCCAGTTCTCGCTGCCTTCGAGTGGGGGGGAGGGGAGGAAAGGAATAGCATTAGCGCCAGTGAAACTGAAAAAAAAACACCAAAAAAGTCAACCGAAAACATTCTCCTCAGAAGGAATGCAACTTACTTCCTGCCTCCACTGGCCAAGTGCGCCCCTCCCCCGCTTGGGGTCACAAACGTACCACCCGCCCGAAAAAATCAAAACTGGACTTTATTCATGCTTTTTGAGGTTCGAATGTCGGCAATGTGCGTAATGACAAAAGTGCTGAGTCTTCCCTGTTTGGAAGATGCAGTGGTCGAGCAGTATACTCAGCGAGTGGTGCAACATATGGTCCAGCAGAGTGTGGGCAAAATCGGACGGATACGAGAGGTATTTGTTCTTCCTCCAACCTTTTTACATGGCAGATTAAGATGAATCCATTTTGAATCACTTTCAGACTGCTTGCAAGTGCATAAAAACCTTGCTGTACTCGAAGGTCACTCGTCAGCATATTTCACACGCAGATGAGCTGTCAGTAATTTATCGCGACGAGCATGATTTCATTCAGGTTTGGGGATTAAGCAAATTAGGTTTAACTTCACTGATTGAGCGGTTTTTCAATTTAGGATTCTGTTTTTCTGTCCATAACGCCCTTGCTGTTGTGCGAGGAATATTATACTGACCTCATTTGTGGACTCGTAATATCTGCAGGTTCGCCTCGTATTCTTAAGATATTTCTAGGTAGTCAAGCTTTTCTTTCCTTTAGGAGGAGTCAGTGAAGGAACAACGATGCGTGCTTCTCAAGCTCTGATGGAATATCAACTATCTACTTCGAAGAACCTCAAGGTAATGCCATTCTTACAACTTTAGAATTCGTTCTGTTCTCCATCAGTCTCTCATTCTCCCTCCGGAACGCCAGAGTATTTTCTGTCAAGAGGTGCAGGCAAGAGGATATTCTGACATGATAGTAGAAATCTGTTTTGGAAATAATGAAAGAGGTGTCATTTGTGCTACTATAACTTGAATTTAAACTCACAATAGTTTAATCTAGGTCTATGATGGGTTCATTCTGTCTTGCCGTCCTTATATTTATTCTTAAGTTGCTGCGAAATAGCTTTGCACACCGTGAAGGCTTCCCTTTGAGAACAACCCTTTGAGAAGTTTTCGGTGCTTACATCTAACAGTACATGGGGTGGAGGTGACGTAATGACCAGTGGCCCGCCTACCACGCGCGCTGCGCGAAGTTCAAATCACGAATCAGCTCCCACTTGAGCCAACCAAGTCTTCCACCCTTCGGGTACGGCAAACTGATGCGAGATTCGTCTGGGAGGGTAAAGCCACTGAGTTGTACATCGATTAGTCCCTAGAAGCATTGGGTAGGCCATATCACATCCAGTAGTCCACCAAGATTCTGAATGGAGCTAGAATGCGCGGCGCATTCCAGATATGAATTAATCGGCGGTGGTATCCTTTTCATATCGGTCACTTAGAGCTGAGGTGAGAGGATTCTAATTGGCTGGCGTTCACTATAACTTTCTGGGTGTGTTCCGAACGACATCGTACTGTGCACCTGCGCCAGATGCAACACGAGTAAAAGGGCAGGCTGAAGCGCAGCTGGAGAAGGGCCTCCTTTCCACGATTCGTTTGGGATTTCTCGCCTGTAAACTACACCAGTAATGACATCCTTAGCGGAAGCTCTTTGGGTAACGGGAATAACGAGAACTGTGGTTCTGGTGTGGCAAGTATTGCAGCAACCAACCCAAGATTGACGATCAAAGCCGTTATCGAGTTTCATTTGCGATCGGTGACAGCACTCCTTCCGCGGGCTGTCAAACCTCGTATCTCTGTCTGTTCAAGGCTGCGTTCATAATCAGTACCACTGGAGAATTGGAGCAGTATGAGTACGCAAAAAAGAAGGTTCGCGCACTGGTCAGGAGAGCGCCGCTTTGCAAGGTTTAAGTGTGGCCTGATTTTAAGGTTGCATGGGTGGCGATGTCTCACCCAAATGCATTGATCGTCATAGCGGTTTTTGGGAGACGGTGGCTAATCTGTGTGACATTGGCCGAAAAATGACTCGCACAGGAAACGACGATGTGATGCTTAGTCCAGGGAAGACGGGCAAGAGAATTGTAAATTGCCGCTCTTCCGCGCGGCGATGATGAAAGCGCGGGGCGTTCTGTCAACTCGTGTAAGCTGTCGATGACCAGCAGCGCATTTCATGTAGACCCCCCCTATCGTAGCTTATACATGCTAGTTTTCGTTTCTCATTGCCTGTTGTTGCCATCTACTTCCTGGAACCATCGTCATTTGCGAGCGCGACGTCGCACGCGACGCCCACCAGCGCGGCGAATTACGGATCTCTTGTCACATACCCAGTCCTGGGAATGCGGCACCGACCCATCTTTGTGGGCTGCGCTTACATGTTTGAATCTGGCGACATCAATGTTCTGCAACTGCTCAGCTCCTCGCATGCCAACGAAAATGCCTCTAAATTTCTGTCTTAGGACTTAAAATGAACCTGATATACGCTCATCTCTTTAAGCCCCATACATTATCATTTTTAGATGATGGAGCGCTTTCTGGAGACAGTAGCTGATTTGTTCGACGTTGGCCGAAAAGTGACTCGCATAGGAGACAGTGTACTGCGCTTACTGCCACAAATTCTTTCACGACTTCATGTCCTTGAGCAATGCCCTGATTCATCAGTAGCTCTGTCACGCCTTCTGATTCATCTAACCAAGGTGAGTAAGGTATGGAATTCGTGGTGAATTCTGATCTTAATGGTCTTATTTTACAGATTGTGAATTCTCGCACGGTCTCGCCGTCACGCATTAAATGTGCCCTCAATTCTTTATGTTCGCTGCTTGGCTGTAATCGGGATAGTCTTACCTGGCGCACGGCAATGCAGCTGGTTAGTAGCCCATTTTACTGACTATTGTTAACTTCTTTATTCCATTGCTGAGCGCATTCACTCCTCAACTTCCATTTGTAAGTTATACCGAAGATGAATTGAATCAAATCCAGTTTTTCATTCTTCAGGTTGTGCGATCCTTATCGAGCAATTTGCCTGTCGTAAGACGTGCAGCAGCGGAAGGACTCTACGAAAATGTGTGCCTTACAGACGTTGATGATCAGGTCAGTGTTAGATGGGCCTCGGAAAAGAGTCAGGCAGTTATGATACAGGATTTTCAAAATTTTATGTATTGGATAAACTTTACACAAAAAAGAGCTTTCTAGTATTGACAGCCTAGACCAACATAGCCAGCACGGCTTTAAAGGCACGCCCCGCGTTCATTTAATGTTAAGGAGCTTCTTTTGAAGTAACAGCCCTGTCTGCTAACATGGAGGATAGACTACCTTTGCAGCTCAAAAGTAGGTGAGAAAAGCGCCGCACGTTTGAGACAGAATCACGACTTCGCCCGCTGACCATTGCGTCGCTTAACTTTCGTTTTTACTTGCTACATGATAGCGGTTGTCCTGATATCGCAACTAACTCTCTCCATCGGTGAGAGTGCGGTGATAGGGAAAAAACAGTCGCGCTCCAGCATGGGGTGCAGTATGGGGCATCTCCCGTGAGTCTTTTGAGCTTTTTCTTTTCTTTTGTGTTGCTTACCGGGGAAGTCCGCCAGTTTACCATAGAACTTTGAATGGAGTTCTGGGTTGATCGATAGAGTCATAAGGTTATTTACATATAGATAGCAACTGCAACCTGCATTTCACAAGCAACTTATGAGCAGGTAAAGTGTAATGGTGCAGTAGGGTGGAGGCTTGGTGGTGAGCTGTGAAGCATAAGCGAGGAATCGCATACGTCGAATCGAGTCGTCGAACGTCGAACCTTACCACTGAACCACCACGACTCGATTCGACGTATGCGATTCCTCGCTTATGCTTCACAGCTCACCACCAAGCCTCCACCCTACTGCACCATTACAAACTTTACCTGCTCATAAGTTGCTTGTGAAATGCAGGTTGCAGTTTTGCTATCTGTAAATAACCTTATAGACTCTATCGATCTACCCAGGTCTCCATTCAAAGTTCCATGGTAAGTTGGCGGACTTCCCTGGTTAGCATCAGAGTAGTTGAGCCGCACAAATCAACATTTTTGAACACGGAGCGAAGTGCCTCTAAGTGTTTGTGGTCTCTTCGTCACGGCCGCCTCTTCCTTTCCGATTTGTTCTGAAGTTATACTTCTGGAAAAGCTACTTTCAAAGCACACTGCAGGTTAGTAAAAGGAGTTTTCAGAAAGCAGCCTTGTTATCCCTTGTCGGACTGTGATGGAATACCCTACACGTGGCTCCTTCGTTCAATACAGGATTGTGCGAGATCTCGCTCCGCTTCTAGCAGTTTTCAGTGCAGCTGAAGTGACCGTTGTCCTTCAAGTTATCACGATGAGAAAAGAGGGCTGTTCTCAATGGGAGACGGGATTCTGTTGGGAGATAACGGGACTGCACTGTCCACGCGGCGCGGCAATGTCAGATGTTGCACTACCGCATCCGAGTTGTCGTTGGAGCAAGGAATTTGCTGTTGTCACGTTGTGCTTAGAAGTACCAATGGGGTGGTCCCTTTAGTGAACTTTGCGGCGTTGCAGCCACGCCCACCCGCGGCGACCCACGATGAAATCGTCATATACCTGTTCATTAGTGACACTCTGGGGTGAAACGCACAAGCTAGCAAAGTATCTATAGCTGATGTGACACCATGTAGGCTGCTAGGTTCAGTCAGGTCCTGGTGCGAATTCCGCTTAAGTGGTCCTGCTTGCAGCGCCTTTTTCTCTACAATATAGACTTGTTCGCTGCGAAAGAAGGGTTGTGTCAGGAGGGATGGGTTTGGCGCGGTCCCAATTAGAAGCAAAGAAAAACAAATATTGGGAAAGGAATACACTCCAAAGCACAGATGATCCGTTTCGCCCGTTATCGCAGAAACCCGTTTTCCACAGCTATTGAAGCGAGCAAGCGACAACACTGGAACATATCGTTCGTATCAGTCGTTTTTGACCAATTGTTGTCGTTTAACCGCTTCAACAAGTGGTTGACAACGTGCTTGGCGCCGCGCCAAACTCATCCTACTTGGCCCACCCCTTCATCATCTGCATCGACCAGTTTGTAGCAGCCGTCCAACACGCGACTTGAAACTTATCGCGCTAACATTTTCAGAATGGTGACGATTCAGTACACTTCAATCGTTTCAGGTACTTCTGCTTCTGTCGGAAACAGTATGGCAGGACACTTCCCCTACCGCATTGGTTGCAATACATGAAGCTGCTCAGACCATAGAACAGATTCTGCTATTGGGAGCGAGTTCATCGAAAGCAATACTGTCTTGATTTTGTCTTGTTATATTTTGTTCCACGATTGTTGACTGTTTGATAACTTAATAATCGTTTTTATTATCAGTATTTATTTTTTTTCTGTGCTGATATTTTTTTTGATATAAGTCGATCTCTTTGTTTCCGTTGATATTATAAAATTTGATACGGGTTTTCTAATCGTTTTTGGCCCAATTGGTCTAATTGAGAATAAATATTTATGAGACGTGTTGCTCCTGGAGTGTCGGCTATGCAGGGTTGTTTGCCAAAGGTATCGATATCAAAGGAGTTTTGTTGTTGTTCTGTTGCTGGTCCGGCCATACTCCAGTACGTCATATGTCAGGCCGTGTTCATACTCCGCGACTTGAGCGCGAACGATTTGGTTCGAATTCCACGTCCCGTCGTGCTGCACCGCTGATTACTGGACTGCTGCAATTGCTCAATAATAATATTGTTAAATAAGTAGTTGAATCGGCTCAACAATCAGCATGAAGCAGTGTCGAAAGCAGTCGCGCGATTCTCAACCCGCGCGACTGAAGCTCGATTCGTGAAGTGTGAAGGCAGCCTCAAGGAAAGCCACGACGTTGCTTGACGCCTCATCTGACTTGCGTTCATACATTGAGTCAGCGTACGCCAGCGCCAGCAACTAGGGAAGTATGGATATATCCAGCGCGCCAGCGTCCACCAGCTTTTAGCAACGTTTTCGCGGGCTGGCTTTTTCGCTGAAGTTGAAGGTTCTCGCGAGAATGTGGAGGCTGGTGGGCACTGGCGTTCGCTATGTCGATGTCTATACTTTCCCAGTCGCTGGCGTACGCTTGAAAGCTGATGGACGCTGACGCAAAGAATGAAGACAGGGTCATGCAAAAAGGAGTTTGCGTAGACGGACGCTCACGAGACGTTGCTGCCCTAACAATACCGCGGGTCTGTTAGAGTGTCTCAGAAGTTCCTCAAAACTTTTCAATGAAAAGCAAGTTGATAAACTATATATGCACCATCATAAGGTGGCTTGTTGTCATCAACTATACCAGGACTGGTTGCTTTGCTTCCAGAAACTCGTCGGTTCCGTGCCGAGAAAAGCACCTATGTTATTTTTGAGGCATTTGAAAGGCAGTTGGCGATTAAGTTCCCAAAACAAGTACGATTAATACGCCTGGGAGGCCGGGATTCTGCGCCGCTTGTAGGCGTTGCGTAGCGCCTTCTCCAAAAAGGTACACTTATAAAGTCCTATCAAGCTGCAGAATACATAATGACGCGGGCGCCCACCAACAAATGGACGACCGTACCTGATCGTACCTCGTATTGCCTCATTTGCAAAGTAAATATGAAGCGAAGGGATTGATATGAAGCGGCCGCGGTGCTGCATGGATATATGAGTACATGCATGCAGCCGTATCTACCGTAGCGGTTATTGGCAAGACAGAAAAACTACGCAAAAACTACGGAAACTGCTTACGGAAAGGCTCGTCGAGATTGATTTCTGGCCATCTGTCTTGTTTTGTTTGTTAGTATTTTGTTTTCCGATTGTGCTGTTGTTAAGTATTTATGTTTTTTTATCATCACCTTTCTATTGGATTGATCAGATCCATTTGCCGATTCCCAGCGACGTTGTAGATTTGTCCACTATCGCTTTAGGCAGCGTTCAGACTTCGCAATCGCGTCGCTAGGCGGCGCGATCGATCGCGCCGCTAGTGGTAGCGACCGGTTGTGTAGCGCGACTGATTCGATCGCGCTCCAATGCAAAAATCAACTGGACGGATGCTAATTTACAGCCATTTTCGGTTACTTTTTGCTTCTTTCTCCTCCCGCTTGCTTCTCGCTTGTTTCTTCCTCCTCCTGGCACTATTATTTCTAATCTGTTTCTATTGTTTGTCAGTTATTATGCTTTTTACCTTTGACATAGTGAAATTTTCAGATGCATTGAAATTTTTCGGATGGACGGCCGTGTTCAGCGCGCGCACTGTTCCTGTTTTTGAGGTGAGGTTTTCAGTTTCCCTGTAGTTTTGGTTATCTTTTTGATTCTCATCAATCATATTGTGTTTAGCTTGGTCGGCAGCTCAGCAGTTCAGTAGAAACCTTCACCTGCACGGTAAGTAGTTTCTCTTTGTTCCTATTTTCTAATTGTGTTGTTAAAGAGAACATAGTAAACTTAAACATAACCAAGACACAACACAATTAGAAAATAGGAACAAAGAAAAACTACTTACCGTACAGGTGAAGGTTTCTACTGAACTGCTGAGCTGCCGACCAAGCTAAACACAATATGATTGATGAGAATCAAAAAGATAACAAAACTGCAGGGAACCTGAAAAACCACCTCACAAAAAAGTTGCGCGCAGAACGGCCGTCCATCCAAAAAATTTCAATGCATCTGAAAAATTTCACTATGTCAAAGGTAAAAAGCATAATAACTGACAAACAATAGAAACAGATTAGAAATAATAGTGCCAGGAGGAGGAAGAAACAAGCGAGAAGCAAGCGGGAGGAGAAAGAAGCAAAAAGTAACCGAAAATGGCTGTAAATTAGCATCCGTCCAGTTGATTTTTGCATTGGAGCGCGATCGAATCAGTCGCGCTACATAATCGGTCGCTACCGCTAGCGACGCGAATTCTGAACGCTGCCCTAGGGAATAATTCAAGTGGAGAAACCATTCCGTCTCCAGTTACAACAGTCAGCAGTCATTTAACCAGTGCATATAGTTGGGTAGTTGTTATAGTTGGGAAGTTGTAGGTGATAACCACCGCGCTTTCCCTTGAGCTTTTCCCTTCGATCAGCCAAGCGCATCGTTCGATCGAATTCCAATATTTTCCCGAGGAAGTCAGAACCTCTGTCGCTTGTGCTTTTAAAACAACCTTTGTAATGGCTGGAAAGTGATTCGTGCGAAATTGTTTGAAGACAGTTGGCACAACAGTTTGCTGCTCTGTCTAAAATGGCAGTAGGAGTGCTATATAGTGGGGAAAATGGCGAAAAAACGAAGTGAAACGGTCAACCTGCAAAGAAAAGCCTTCGCTTTTAATGACTTGAAAAACAATTTCGGACGAGTTTCCCGTAGGCATCTTGCCAATCACCGCTACAGTAGGTATGGCTGCATGTGTGCACACACCATGCGGCACCGCAGCCGCTTCATATCTAATCCTTTCGCTTCATAATTTACTTAGCAAGCAGGAACGGTCGCCCATTTGTGGGCGGGTGGGCGTGGTGGGCGTTTGGGTTGTGGCTTGATAGGGCCTTATAGAGGTACATTCCTTGGAAAAGGCGCTACGCAGCGCCTGCTCAGGGGCGCGGAATTCCGTCCTGCGGGTTATCATTGCTACTCAGGGATTTATCGTGCCAACTGCCTTTGATACGCTTTGCGTAGACCACATAACTGGAGCTCTCAATCGCTACAGAACATCGATGCAAGAATCAAGAAACCATTACTAACTGTTGGAACACCCTACTTTTACTAGCATTATTTCTCCGAAGTATTGTTCAATATTTAGTGCGAATATGGCGGAGAATAAGGATT